CAAGCCTATCCAGGGAGGGGAACACAGACTGGGGAAGTGAAGACTGAATGGGGAGGCATGCCCTCCCCTTTGCTTCCCCAGCCACCCTGCCGGGAGCCACACAATATGTGTGAAAGAGCCACATGTGGCTCCCGAGCCATAGTTTGGCCACCCCTACTATAGGCTATAATGGAGCTGGGGAAAATGATTTTTTCTTGGAAACAGATAGGGGTCATTTCCTGCAGGAGCGCACAGAGCGGAGCTCCGGCAGTAAAGAGCCCAGGGGGCGGGCACATGCAACAAGACCCACCCCCTGCTCCCAGCAGCCCTCAGTCAGAGCAAGAAGCAGCCAGGTAAGTTGCAGAGCTCCCCCGGCCCAAAACAGTCCAGTGGCACCTTTAAGACCAACTTTTATTCAGGAACAAGCTCTCCCTCCTTTGCGAGGATAGATCTGCACGTCCCCCCCCCTCAATAGCTAGCAATCCAAAACAGTCCAGTGGAGCCTGAGTGGTGGGTGTTGCCTTCTGACACACTTCCGGTGATGTCAGGGGGTGTGGCATATGCAAATAAGTTATGCTAATGAGTTATGCTAATAAGCTCCTGCACCTCTTTTTCTACGAAATGACCCCTGGAAACGGAGATGAGCACCGCATCCCCAGAGTCGGATTCGACTGGCTTTCGAGCAAGGGAGACCTTTACCTTTACTATTATGCTTTTCAGTATGATTTGTAAGCTGCCTTGAGTCACAGGGAAAAGTGGGATATAGATATTTGGATAAATAAGTAGTTTGGGCAGGTTGATCGCATTTAAGTAACTTCTTGGGGTTTTTTTTAGGTTAGGCAGGGTTCCAACAGTTATTGTTCCTCCTCTGTTGTACTTGACCTCTAATGCTCGTTTGTCATATTTCACTAAAAAAAAAAATCAAAGTAGACTGGAAGAGTTTTTTCCTCCCCTAAGTGCTGGTATGTTTTTAAGGTGACAGTCGGATGCCAGGTCTACCAATATGGTGGAAAGGGGTGGGCGAAATTTGACTTGATTCTGTTTTCTCCTATAATGTTTCAATTCTTCTTAAGATATAGTTTAAATATAAGTTTAAAGCATTTATTCTAAGATTTTTAGAACATTATGGAAGTAATCTTTAAAAGACTTATTTACGCGATAGTCTAGGGTTGCCAGGTCTGGGTTGGGAAACACCTGGAGACTTTGGGGGTGGATCCAGGAGAGAGCGGGGCTTGGGGAGGGGAGGGGCTTCCGTATGGTACGATGCCAGAGAGTCCGCCCTTCAAAGCAGCCATTTTCTCCAAGGAAGCTGATCTCTGTCAGCTGGAGATCGGTTGTAAAAGCGGGAGATCTCCAGGCCCCACCTGGAGGCTGGCAACCCTACGATAGTCAAATGTAGACTCGCTCACAACTTTAATGCTACAAGCCTTTTTGCTCACAAGGTAGAATTTCTGCTCACAACAGTGCAGAGCTTGGAAGGAACATTGACTGGGTGACATAGAAATAGCTCTGAAAACATTGTAGGAAGACCTGCCTTTTATCTGTAAAGTTCTGCAGTGTATATTTTGCTAACATATGACCTTGAAAAGCTTTCTTCCATTTAAATAAAATATCTACTTGAGAAGAGAATGGACAGGACTACCTGAATGGTCTGCAACAAGTTTTTCTGGCTGCATTTAACTCTCTTAAAATGTAACTTGCCTCTAGATTTAATCATATCACAGCCTAAGTTACAATTATTTGTATCATTATTATTATTACTATAATTATCATTATTTATTAGGAAGGATGTTGACAAGCTTGAGCGTGTCCAGAAGAGGGCAACCAGGATGGTGAGAGGGTTGGAATCCAAGTCTTATGAGGAAAGGCTGAAAGAGTTGGGTATGTTTAGCCTGGGAAAGAGAAGGCTTAGAGGGGGACATGATTGAAGTCTTCAAGTATTTGAAGGGCTGTCATGTAGAAGATGGAGCAGATCTATCCTCTCTTGCTCCGGATTGCAAGACTAGATCTAATGGGTGGAAGTTACAAGGGAGTCGTTACCGGCTAAATATCAGGGGAAACTTCCTAACTGTAAGAGTGGTTGAGCAGTGGAACAGTCTGCCTCGGGAGGTGGTGGATGCTCCTTCGCTGGATGTTTTCAAGCAGAGGCTGGACGACCATCTTTCGGGTATGTTGTAGGTATGTAGGGCTATCTTTCAGCTGTGCTCCTGCAGAGTGCAAGGGGTTGGACTAGATGACCTGCAAGGTCCCTTCCAACTCTAACATCCTATGATTCTTATTAGATTTTTATACCGCCCTCTCCGCTAACTGCTGGAGTCACAACAAGACAGGATGCAAACGAGTCACATAGTTTCTTCCCAGTCCTTTCCTCTCACTTGTGTGGAATGTCAGCAAGCACTGAAAAGGTAGGATTTGGGAAGGATAAAAAAGGCTGGGGTGGTTAGGGAAGGCCTAACTATTCAACTAGGGGCAAAATCATGTGGTGGTGTGTAATCCTCCCCATTGTGCCTGCTGATTCCAGCGCTCTACTCCAAAAGAACATGGGAGCCCTGCTGGATCAGATCAGTAGTCCATCTAGTCCAGCATCCTGTCTCGTACAGTGGCCAACCAGTTCCTCCGGAGGCCCAGCAACAGGGCATAGAGGCCTTCATAAGAACATCAGAAGAGCCACGCTGGATCAGACCTGTGGTCCATCTAGTGCAGCATCCTGTCTTAAACAGTGGCGGACCAGTTCCTTTGGACAGCCAACAATAGGGCAGAGAGGCCGAGGCCTTCATAAAAATATAAGAAGAGTCCTGCTGGATCATACCAATGGTCTATTTGGTCCAGATGCCTGCTTCACACGGCAGACCAGTTTCCCTAGACAGCCAAC